TGCCAATTATCTCCATCACCCTAACTAGCTGACAGGCTGCAACAGAGGTTTAAAGCAGCAGGGGCTAGGAGAACTCACCACTTACCTCCACAACTTCAGCCTTTAAAGACCTGCAGCAACTGAGAGTCAGCCACGGTCCCTGAAAACGAGCCTGTGGTCGCACGCATATCCTGATGTAGAAGCTGTATCATCTTCATTTCCTTTTACTGCTTCAGCTTAACGCTCTGTGTTGGTGGAAGTACAAGCAGGTCATCGTGGCGACGCCGGCAGTAGCTCTCGGGCGCAGCACGTGGCTTTCTCACGGCAGTGAAGCTTGTAGGGCAACGCACAGTATCTTTTTCTGTGCTATTCTTCTTGCTAATCTGTGCAGGGATTGCACAAGATCCTCCTTTACCACAGCTCCTGGTGTTACGTTCTCTGCCCTGAAAGATTCCTAGGCCTTTAGCCTTATGTTCCTCTCTGCTTCCCTGCGGTTCTTTTCCTTCCATCACTGCAAGTAAAACCAGGCAGCTTGTTTTTTTTTCTTCCATCTCTCCCATCATTTTTATCATGCTTTTCATATCTTGCTTATTAAGTAGTTACCCTAGGGAGACTTCCTTTTTATTGGAACATGCAAAAAGCTATAACTGCTCTTAACATTTGTGGGGATGAGGAGGGAGAAGGGGGCAGGGGAAACAAATTTCAGCTGAGGCCACAGAAATACACGTGGTGTGTTCAGTAATACGCCTGGCATCACCTCTACTGCTCTGACCATCAGCAACAAGATTTTCTCCCTTGCTTTCTGCTTATTCCCCAAACCAGCCCACACTGTTAAAAATAACGTACCTGGATATTTGGACGCAGTTGTTGTTGTTGCTTTAGGAGCAACATCCACTTGGCTGCTGCTGCGGGGCAGGGGGCAGACGAGGCGACTCCCAAAGGTCCCATCTGCGCTTGTTTCCTAGAATGGCGGAGAAAATCAACCCAAACTCTACATTTAGGCATTCAGGCGTTAGAGGGGAGGCTGGTGCCACATCGGAATAAACACTGGGCACCCCACTTTGGGAAGAGTTCTGTTGCGGCTCCCATGTTGACTATGGCTTTAATACCAACAAGCAACCAAACAAAGCTCATCAGTGTTCTCAGGGGGCAAGAACAGCAATTCAGGATAACGAGACCCTGGCAGGAGAAATGCTCCCGAAGTCTCAGAGAATTTGGATATTTTTGAACTCTTGCTCTCGACTGAGCTCTGCTTCAGGCTGGACCGGCTGGCCTGAGCTTCCTGGGTCTAAGCCAGCAAACACCACTGCAGAAGGGATGCCCATGTTCCACTGCGTGATCCGTGAGGGAGCAACACAGTCCTAGATGCGATTCTTAACAGGGCAACAAAGCCAGACCTTTCAGCTCTATGATCTCCCAAAATTCAGATACTCTTTTATTCTCACATCCCAGGTAAGCGCCCTACCCCTCTGATGAGAGAAACAGCCTCTCTCTCTGGAGGCAAACAGCTATCACCTTATTTATACAAAGTGGAACAGCTCCCAGAGGAGAGGCAGAGAGGCTGAGACAGACAGACGCAAGTATACCGGTACGGCTGAGTGTTCAGGGGTATTCACCTGAGAGAGGGAAAAAACTAGTTCAAAGTCTCTCCATTTCTCTTTATGGACGTACAGTCATATGTATGAATATGTACATATGCATGTGAAAATCCGTTCGTATGTGTAAGTATGTGTATATGTATACATCTGTTTAAATACATCCCTATAAATGAAAGAAAATTGTATGCACATACATTTTATATACGCATACACATACACTTTATGTATGTATACACATACACTATGTGAATGTAAGTCTTACATACGCATCTTTCAATTTCCACCTTGGCCTTACAAAGGCAAGGGCCTTACAAAGCTCAGTATAATGATTCATTCTTTCAAAAACTTCCAGTTTTAGCTAACCAGAATCAAGCGTGCACAAATCCTTCGGTATCTCTGACATAAAGTCCCGCAGCTTTCCTGCATGCGCTCATCAATACCGCATAACTGCACCTACAAGGTTCAGCCCATGCTGCGTTCGGGTGGCACGGGATGCTCTTTTTCAGCAGCGTTACTCCAGAAGAAATTAAATCACGCTGTCTGCTGCCGCTGCCTTCTCAGGGGATGAATTATGTGCCTGCAGAGTCCTCCACCACAGTCAGTCCTGCTCTCTGGATGCTTCCAGCTGCACCTGCAAGCCCTGCTGCACACACCAGTTATAATAATGTAATGCTATTTGGAAGGTAATGAACAGGACTACTTTCTAGGGAATATTATTTCTGTATGAAAATTTCCTCCTAATTCATTTCAGAAAAGCTGTCTCTGATATAGCCTGAGCGCGTGCAAGAGAGGAGCAAGATGCCTCACACCAGGGACTCTTCGTCTCCGAGCAGCGGCGCGGGGAGCAGAGCTTGCTATGAAACGCCGGCGCTGTCAGACCTCCAGCGGCTCTGCTGGTTCAGAGGAGGCTCGGATAATCACGTGGACCAAGTCTGGCCGAATATTTACCTGGGAGATGCGTAAGAACATACGGTCCTATCATGAAGCCGTTATGGGTCCCTGGGAGGAGAAGGAAGGGCTGTGGTACACTGGGGAGCAGTTTTTGGGTCTGTGCGAATGTTTTGCAATACAAGCTTCCGAAACCGATGACATAAGGAGCCTGGATGTCGTGAAGAACACGACATACAAAATGGTGACTTACTCATAGCGCGTCTGAGTTGGGTTTTCTACTTTCTGTGAACCACAGCAGATTTGGCAGGGTAAAAATCATTTGCATTCTAGACAAAAGGCCTTGAAGAACCCATCCCAAATTGGTGTCAACTGTGAGATGAGTTAATGGCCCTGGCAACTGTGCTCTAAGGCGGGAGACAAGCACAGTAGCCCTCGCGCTCAAATAGGAGCAGCAGGATCAAGAGCCAGCTGGAGGAGGACCCAAATGAATTATACAGCAGGGCTTTGCCAGTCCAAATCCAAGCTTTCTTTCAGAGATGGTCAAACTGAAAATCTCAAACTGGAATTTTCATGCAAATACCTTATTCTTGTGACCGCTTTTTGTATTGCCATTTCCTTCTGTTCGGATTACTGCAGATGACATACATCATCAGCTCATTTTTCCCAGCTCCTCCTCCGCATGAATACATCAGCTAAGGATCACAGTTTTGTGGAATAACTTCAGTCCCAGTTTATGGTGGGATGGGGGGAGAACGTGGCTGGCGAGCCTGATGCAGCCGCTTCACGGCCGAACCGGGAGCGAGGTGCTGCTGCATCCGTGTGGGTTCTCCCCCTCACAACCCACGCACACTATGAATGAGAGATTAGCTCTAGAGCTTGTTAAACAACTATTTAAAGGAAAATCTTGACCGCTTTATACAGTAAGCCATATTCCCCGGGAGGAACTGCTGGGAAGCATTTGCTTGACAGTATCCCACTGGCAAGCCTGCGCTCTCGCTGCTCTCCACAACACCACATCAGATTTTTCACATTGTGCTGGTTTTGGCTGGGTTGGAGTTAATTTTCCTCTGCTGGGAGTAAAATTAACTCCATCCCAGCCGAAACCAGGACACGTGTGCAAAGCACTATGGACTTCTAGAAATTTGCTACTCTCTAGGCAAGCTGCAGTTCCCGCATCCTTCCCTAGCGGGAGCAGGCACTGACTCCACGCTGTTCTGTTCCAGCAGAATGTCAGGACCGTTGCCAACGAGCCCTTCGTGTCTTTCAACAGGTGGGCTGCTAGGAGCAAAACTACTCTTCAAAGCCTCAACATTACTCATGTCCTTAATGCAGCAGATGGGCCATACAGCATCAACACTGGAGCCAAGTACTACGAAGATCTGCAAATAGAGTACTACGGAGTGGAAGCATTCGATGATCCTTCCTTTGATTTAAGCGTCTTCTTCTACGATGCTGCCAGCTTCATAAGCAAAGCCTTAAACACTTCAGGAGGTAAGAGGAAGGCAAAGAGAAGCTTGGGGAGGAAGTTTCAATGCGAGCCAAATGGCTTCTCCTTGCAGTCGCAGGCAGCCTACAAAGCTCGGAACCAGCGGAAGGTTCGGGAAGGCACGCGCAGAACCACCGTGCGGAGGACGGGAGAAGGTGCCTATACCACGAGCTGTGGGGAAGGCGCCCGTGGCCCGCTCCCAGGAGCCGGGGAAGGCTGGCAGCCCCAAGCCCAGTGCGGCGGGACGAAGGGCCAACGGAACGAGAGGGAAGGGCAGAGGTGACGGCACTGCGGGTGCTGCCCCGCGGGTCCATCCTGCAGAATCCGTGTCCTTCCCAATGCTCCAGCCCAGCGACCCTGCCTTGGGTACCACAGCCCGGCTGCGGATGCGCTCGCCAGGAGCAGCAGCACTGCAGCGCCGGCGTAAGCGCTTCACGTGCCCAAGCGCGTCGCAGAACTGCGGCTTTATTAAGCTGGAGGAGCAGCAGAAGTTAATGAACTAAGTCAAAAGCCACAAGACTGACCCGCAGCCTGCTGAATTTTTGTCAGCAGAGTTTGGATTATGGCCTAGTTATCATAATTTCCATTTGTTCCAGAGTTTGCTCCGGCTCTGACTGGCTGCGAGATCTGCTGCTTTCACTGGAGTGCTTTATTAAATCCGCAGTTATAGCTCACACTGGGCTGCTGAGATACAGTAAATTATGAGCCTATTTTTGCAGGCAGACTATCCTACAGAGTTTATGGGACTTGTCAGGGATCACAGTCAGGGCTGGGCCAAAGTTTTCTGCCAAAACTTTTTTTTTCCCCCCTATAGAAAACTATACTAACAAGTTTAGTCACAGAAAGCTTCTCCTTCCACAGAAAATTTCAGCTATTTTAATCTAAGGCTTAAGTTAGATGCATGAGGTCAGTATGAAACATCACATTCCTTGAGACGTGTGGCGTGATCGTATGCTAATGGCCCCTGAAAACATGAGTATCCGCTAATTATCACTGCTGTTTTCCCAACGTATTTCTAGCAGGTTTTGTCCTCCCTGTGCCTCTCTCACTCCAGGGACGCTAAAGCCTGCTCACCTGGCTGCGCCTCTTTCTTTCGGCAGGTAAGGTGTTTGTCCACTGTGCCATGGGGGTGAGCCGCTCTGCGTCTTTAGTGCTTGCCTTCTTAATGATCCGGGAGAACCTGACGCTCGTGGATGCTCTGAAGACAGTGGGCGCACACAGGGACATCTGCCCAAATTCAGGGTTCCTCAGCCAGCTCCGGGACTTGGACGTTAAGCTAAACGAAGAGAGGAAAGGAACCAGAGCATCTGCTGCCGAAGAGCCGTGACAGAGCATTGCTGAAAGAGGGAGGACGAAATGTGATTTGTTATTTTGAAGGGAATTGCATTTGTAAACTAAGGACGAAAGTTTATGACACATCAGAAAGCATGTTATTACCAAAAGTAGATTTCACTTGATCTTTCCATCTTGCAAAGCCCTCCTCAGTTATACCTACGATTGGTTGTATATTGTATCCTTCACTCTCCACCTTAAAACATTGCTCTCTGCTGGTTAAAAAAAAAACAAACACAAAAATCCAAAGATATCAGGTTCCACTTCAGAAATAGCTGTGTTTCAGCAACTAGTGAAGCTCATATCACTTTATGAAGTGTTAGGCTATTTGAGGTGAAAGACGCCATATTATTTATGCTACAGTCATGCTTAGAAGTTTTCTCATGAACCAGCCCCTCCACCCCTTTGCTCCCCATATCTAAAATGGTTTGTATGTTGAGACCCAAATCTGGCACTGGTTAGCTCTCACTTTTACAATTGGTGGAGCCCCCGAGTTGGGAGTAAGAGGCCATTTAAAGGCAGAGCAGCTAGGAAACAACACAAGCCACTCTTCAAGAAATTTTTCCAAGTCTCTATATAGTGTTTTCCCTTTGACTGTTCATGAGATTTGTTTTTGTTTTTCTTCCGTGAAAATACTTTTGTTTGAGAGGGCATTCAAATATCATTCATCTTCCCTGGTAAAATTCAGCCAGGAGATGCAGTGGAAAATGCTTACGGAGAGGAAGGTGGGTTCCCAGCTGAGGCTCCCCACGGGGCAGCGGGTGCAGGAAAGAGTCTGACAACAAAGTTCAAGGTATCCCACATTCGTCCAGCAGTTCGGCATTATAAAGCTGCGACTTTCTTTCTCAAAAATAAAGGTCGCTGACGTTGCAACAGCATGTTCTGCGGCATTTGCTTTTGTGAAGGGACCCAAGTGAAAACTGAAGGGACACAGGAATGGCGAGGGAGGTGCTGACAGGCACCAGGCTTTCATCTTCGCGTCTCTGGGCCACCATAAGAGCCCTCAATAGCTACTGTCATCTGACGGACCAGCGCTGCCTGGAAATTATGTGAAGCACATCTGGCTCTGGGTTCCCAGTGGGCAAACATTGGCTGCACAAAGCCAGCTGGGGGATGGCAGTTGTTTGCATTCCTAGTACCAGACTCCGGAATGCAGAGGCACCAAAGCTCCCCGGCTGGAGCTGGCTGCTCGAGAAGAGCACAGCACCAAGGGAGGACATGCCTCGCCCTTCCCAGCGCTGTCTGCGAGGCAGATATTCACCTTCTGGGCAGACAGCTCATCACCTCTTATAAAGCTCTTTGGAGATATCTACATCTGCTGCGCGGGTCAGGCTACAGGGGTGAGAGCACAAAGCGGGGCGTTTGGCACCAAGGAGCCGACCCCGGCACGGGGGGCATCTCAGGGGGGTTGGCTTTGGACCGACCCTGTGGACTGGCCATCCCCGAGCAGCGGGAGAGCAGCGCTCGAGCCCTTCTTGGCTTTCGTTCCCTGCCGAAGGAATCCTGCTCACCAGCTCCGGAGCTGCTCTGCAAGGTCAACAAAACCACAGAAGAGAGGAGCGAGCAGCTTAAAAGTCAGCTTCGGATCCAAAGCAAAAAATTAATATGCGTGTCTTGGCGATTAACAAACTGATTTCAACTTACAGGACAAGTGGGGGGAAAAAACCCCAGTGGATCCGGCTGTAGAGATGCCCCCCACATCTCCTGACGCTTCCCAACCAAAGGAAAACGCTCTTCACCTCCAGCAGCAGCAGGACTGAGGCCAGCAGGACCACAGCCATCTTCAGCTGCAGGGCGATTGAGATGACCTGCAAATTAAATGTATTTAATGCCATAAAAACCACCTTTTTAAAAGGCTGGTTGGCGCGGCTGGAAAACCCGCATTCTGCTCTGGCGGTAAATCACGGCAGATCCTGCAGTACAACCCTCTGCGGGGTGGCACACGCCGGTGTCCCCCTCAAGAAACCCCGGTTCCCCCCCCAGAAAAGGACC